ACCCTCCTCTCTAAGGTAAGTTCTGTGGAATAGCTTTGAATGTAAGTTATACAGTTGGTATTATCTATTATAATACTGGGGATTTGGATGTATATCTGTGAAGGGTTAAAAAGTATTCACGGTGGCTTGTTTTTGGGTCTACCTAGTTGAGGAATTAAATTGAATGTGCTTAGTTCTATGCTCTGTATGTGCTAGAGAAGTGAAATAGTCAAATGGAGCACATGGGTTGTTGGTTGCTTGACTACAGAGTCACTTGTGGTGTGTTGGGTATGGAACCAAATATATTAATCTATTGAGTTCTAAAGGGTTGCCACTTTCTGGGTTTGAGTATAGGAGTTGATTAAGGAATTACTTTGTGCTTTTGACTTTTACACTTTTGATCTTGTTTTTAAGACGAATTAAGAAGAGGAGAAAAGGGAATTTGAGGTTGGATACTTAGAGTTTTGATTTTTGTAATTTGTTTTTTGTATATAAAAGAATAGATTTGATCTTGTGTGCAAGGTTTGAACTTGTTTTTTTCTATATACAGAGATAGATTTGGGCTGTGGATGTCAATTTGACGCAATCAAAATTGGGAGCAACTTTGGGTTGTGATGTAAACTAGTATGATGGTTGCCACTTTCTGGGTTTGAGTGTAGGAGTTAATTAAGGAATTACTTTGTGCTTTTGACTTTTACACTTTTGATCTTGTTTTTAAGACGAATTAAGAAGAGGAGAAAAGGGAATTTGAGGGATTCGAAATTTTGGAAAATATTCGGCTAATTCCCGGTGACTGAATTCTTTTTATGTGAAGTCTTAGGGTAGGTTTCATCATCTTGTCTCCATGCAAAATCCTGCAATGTACTTGATGATATTAGCTTTATGACACAATCAAAATTGGGAGCAACTTTGGGTTGTGACGTAAACTAGTATGATTCACTCCGAAAGATTTTTTCATTTTTGCTACATTTTGTGGTTGATATTTCATTATTAAACTGCTATAGTATTAATTTTTTTATTGGGTATTTCATTAGAGACATTCTTTATTGTATATTTACATGAAATTTACATATGGTTCCAATAATTTATTTATTTTTTTCATCTAACACTTTCCCTGTTAACAATGCATCCTGTTCTCAGGTCTTATCTTCCTGCCACACGGATCTTTCTTCTTTTCTGAAGGATTGGCCTTCCAAAATTTGCAGAGCAATGCAAAACCTTCGAGCTTCTTTTTTTATGGATATAGAATAAAATGGGGATCCTTGGACGCAGGTTTGTGACTTCGGTTGATTTTATTGCGGTATTGAGCTCAATTTATTGATGTTATTTGTAATAGCAACTATATTGTTGTCTGCAGTGCAATTGTTACAAAGCCAAATGAGTCTGTGAGGCTCATTGTAACGACTTTTATTGGAGTTGTTTTTGGCTTCCTGATAAGAGCATCATTTCCAACACTTCCATTAGCCAAGGTGCACAAAGTATTCTCTTTCCTGTCTTTGTCTATAATTCCTCTTTGCTTCTTGTTAATTTTATTTGTTTTATTCAGATTACATGATGAATATTTTATTTTTGCATCCAAATTTGGCAATGAATGTCCCTTCCAGCCTTCTTCTTCCTTCAATTAATCTTTCCTATAATGAGGACAAAAATTCAACATTTTTGAATGCTTGGTTGTGACTTGACATTTTCTACATTATCTTGGTATTCGGTTGTGATTGGATTTTGAATGTGTTTGTGTGGTATAAATTGAATTGATGAAGTGTAAGGTTTATATATGAGATAAATTTGAGTTATTAATTTTATAGGTAAATTTTGGATTTCTAGTATTGTTGATTTGAGATATGCATAAATTTGGAATTCATGATCAATAAAACTTGTATTATTGTAAATTTTATGCCTGCACAAATTTAATGACTGTCTCTGAATGGTATGTTAATTGATCAACATTTTTAAAGAAATTAATTCTTTTATAAAATAATATATAGTTGTGTATTCAATCAAATTATTCATTTATTTGAGGATATAGAACCTTTGTTGTTAATTGGACATGTTTTCACTATGGTATTTTTGGAAGATGAGATTATTACTTGGTGCTGAGATGTTTTGGAAACTTTCAGATTACCAAAGAAAGATAACATATGAAACCTATGATTGGCGAGTGGGGATGTAGCTAATCTCTTCTTACCCCTCTCTCTCTCTCTCTCTCTCTCTCTCTCGACGGCGAGCGGCGGCAGACGACTGCCAGCAGCAAACAAGGCTGCTGTGTGAATGGAAAGGGCTCCGGAGTGCAAGAGCAGCAGCAACAGCGTCGGAGGAGGAGGAGGAGGAGAGAAGGTGGTGATAGGGATGATATGCGGGAGTCTGGTGTACTACCACCGCGCATATAAGAATTCAAGCATACTCACCAAATTTATTATATATATAAACCTTACACTTCATCAATTCAATTTATACCACACAAACACATTCAAAATCCAATCACAACCAAATACCAAGATAATGTAGAAAATGTCAAGTCACA